AAAGTGTCCTTGGCAAGTGATTCTCTTCCTTTTGAAGCCATGCGTGTCTTAAATAACATGGGCAGCAACCATGCAAAACCAATCCCTTAAGCCTCAGGCGTGTAGGGCATAGGACCCATTTGTGAACTGCATGTTGTTCTATTTTTTTTTTTTTTTTTTTTTGCACATATAAATCCTTTGGAAATTGGAATCCTATGTGGGTTTTCTTTTGATCTTCAAATCTTTTGAATATGCAGGGCCTTTTTAGTGAGATTCATGTTCTTTTCTTTTGGGATAAGATGAGATTTATGCTTCACTGATTAATTAACACCTTTAGGAAAAAACAGTGCGATGTACAATTGGCTGAAAGAAACAAAAAACAAACATAAAGATAAAAAAATTTAATAAATCATAACCAAAGTTGGGGAAAAAAGAAGAAGCCATTTCAGTATAGCACTGTAACACCATCATAACCTAAGAAGGCAAAATTCTTAACCAAGATAAAAAGAAGGCAATATTCTCTGTAAACACATTGCCCAAAATTATTTTCCCTACCAGTTTCCCTCCTCACCAAGTTAACCAAAGTTTGTGTAAAACTATAGGGGGTGGGGGAAATAGGAACTGATCGAATCGTTTTGGTGCTAACTGAAGGTCCTTGCCTTTGGCTGTGTTCTAGCTTTTGAGGTCTCTTTGTTGTTGTTTAGTGTTTTGGTTGATTGTGATCTTACTGTTTATGAACTTGGTTTTAACAGAAAATTAAAATTGGACATTTGACAAATAGGGGAGATCGACAAATAGGGGTCAAATTTTTTTCCTTAGGGTCAGCTAGGCTTCTGGAAGTTGGTGGCAATTTATCAATTAACAAAAATGCTCCATGGGGTTTAGTCTTAGTCTCTGATAATATATTGTTAAACTTTGAAACACTTTTTATTTTACTTTTCATATATACAATTAAGAATATCTCTCTTTGTATACAGCTCTCGTCTTATAAACTCATTATATAATGAGAAATATAGATATATAAAGGAGCAACGGTTAATCCTTGAGTCTCCCCTAGTTGAGAGAAGTAAGAGAAACATAACTCAGTAATTGTCATGTCAAGGTAATTACCAACATAGGAAAAATTAATTATTTATTTCATCTAAAGAGTATATGGACAACCCTTCAATTAAAATTGGGATTTTGCTAATTAAGCATAAAACTACTATTGATAGATATGGAACTTATAACAAGCAATGAGCCAAAGTTTGAGAAATCAGAAACCCTAGAAGCGTGAAGAGTCACGTAAAAAAACTACCCTTTCAAGTAATTGAAGTAAACATAAAATTCTGATAGATAGCAATCTCAATATCTTGTGGAGAAGAACTTACATAGAATATGTTTACCGCTATGGTGATCTTACGTTCAAATAAAATAACGTTATATATAAGTTTCTTATTACATGACATTGTATTGTTAAATTAAGTCCAACATAACTGTAAATTCATAACTCATTTTATATGAGTTGCTCATCATATATCATCTTGCTGATTCTAATTTGAATCTATTTTATAAAACTTTGTTCTGTTCTGTATTGCATGGAGAGAGAAGGCAAATTTTGATGAATTGGGAAGAAAGGTAACACCGTGGGGGCCATTCCTTGTTCACGGGTTCTTTCTATTACCAGATTCTCACTCTCACATGCAAGTTTTGGCAGGAACGCCTTATATATGGAGGCAGATTGTCTGCCCTCCTGTTTGAGTGTCATTTTCATCCCCTCTTATTTGTGCGGTCACAGTTAAGCCACGTTAACATTTTATATTATTATTGCTTTTTGTCTTATTATCTTTATAAAAAAATTAATATAAAATGTTAATGTGGCTTAACCGTGACCGCACAAAATAGGAATTGATGAAAATGGCATCCAAATAGGAGGGCAGACAATCTGCCTTCCTTATATATCTCTATCTTATTCTTATTCAATATAATATAAATGTATATGTGTGTCTATATACATATATATATATATTTGACATGACAATTTACTTTCTCTGCTAAGCAATCCAATCTTAATTAGACAAACTAATTTATCAGTACTAAACCCTAATTTTTCGGTGTAATTGTTAGACCGTGTTATCAATTTATTCATGTTATAAAAATGCATTTATTTATTTATTTTTATATTGTATCTATTTTAGTTACTTCATATCCATTAATGTTATAACACGTAAATGTTTTTTTTTTTTTAAGAAAACTTCAACAGTAAGAAGAAATTTTTATTGATAACAAAAAAAGAAGTTACACCTAGTTGCGGGGGTTGTGGGGACATGAAACCTAACCCTCTACATCCAAACCTAAGGGTCTAAATTTGCAAAATAGATCGAGCAACATCACATGATTAAAAAAAAGTGAGACAAACTTACATTCCGAGATGCACATTAATTTGAAGTCGAAACCAGGAAAGCCAAAATAGTCTGAATACAAAGTAGCACGAGCCGCTAACGGAGGGGAATCATGCCATACCAAAGTTGGACAAGACAAGCCCATATTAGTAAAATTGTCCGCAACAACATTTTCTTCGTGATATATGTAGGAGGAGTCATCTTCCAAATGTGGTCTAAACAAGTAGACCATTGCGTAGGAAGAGGCCAATGATTCATAATCAAGCGATTGGAGATTATAAATAACACTAGAAGAGCCACTTTCCAATCAAAGGTAATGCCAACTTCATTGATATGCAAACTCTACACCAATAATAATTGCCAATAATTATTTGTGATGACCAATCCCTTGGCAGAAACCACTAAGAAGTTTACCATGGCAATCCCTAAAAACTTCTCCACAAGCAGCAGAACCAGGACTTCCTTTAGACAAATCATTGGTACTGAGTTTAATCCAAGGAAACCAAGTATGAGACCAATGCACATGAAGAATAGTAGGCATCTTGCTAGGGATTGGTCGATCCCAGAGCATAAATGATAGAATGTCAAAACCCTGAGAGTAACCAAGAACAAATTTCCTAGCATGAACGATTCCAAAATTGATAGACATGCAAGGAAAATAAAAATATATTTGACGACCCTAAAATATAAACTTATAACACATAAATTAATAATTTATGAGTCGGTCTAACAGACTAACAAGTAAATTAACCCTAAAGTATTCATTCATGTTTTGGAGTGAACATGAAATGGCTTATTATATTTAACAATGTATTATATTGGATTTAATCCTCTAACACTCTTTTTTCTGTTGAGAAGAAATCCATAAATTTACATGCTTGCATTTCACTAATCTTCTCCAGACTTGCAAGCATCTCATATTTTGACTTCTGACTTGCTCATATAACAGCTAATGCCGATATGCCTAAAATTCCAGACACAGAATGAAATCTGAGAATTGATGACCTCAAACCCCAATAAAGCTAAGAATTTCTGGGCCTAACGGTATGGGCTGAAACTTCACTGAATTACAGGCCCAAATGATCATTCATGGGCTTGAGTGATGGACATCCTTTGTGAAATTAATGGTTGGCCCCTCAACAATGAAGGGAGAGAAAAAAAAATAGTGAAACCAAGGTGAAGTGACAATAGTACCATTGGAATTGTATCTTATGAAAGGTTTTACACTATATTTGGATGAAAGAAATAAATTTGGAATTTGGATAAAAGTCAGAATTTATAAATTGACATGCATCAATTCCCTTGTTTGGATTCATAACCATAAAAATTTAGAATTTTCACGTGTAAAAAAAAACTTGGAATTTGAGACCTCCAATTCCCAAGTTTTAATTCCATGTAAATATTTATCAATTTCTATGATTAAGAGTTTAAATATAACAAATTATGCATTCAATTCTATTGTTATTTTAGGTTAACCAAATAAGAAAATTCACAAATTCTAGAAAATAAAATCCCGTCATTTCAATTTCCGTCATTTTGAAAATTCATTAGTGATCTTAAATTTCTTCATCCAAACATAATGTTAGAGTAAATGCTTGAGGAATGGAAAATTATTTTTGCACACTCTTAGTTATTAGATTGAACATATTAAAACTAAGAGTATGTAGAAAGTGAAAAAGAGTGCATCTTACGGGGAAAAATGGCGTTGAGTTTAGTACTTACGGGTTGAGGATGGTCTAATTGCTCAATTTTGTAAGTTTTTCGTTTAAGATTGTGTTTGCTCACTTCTCACATGTCGTCCACACTTATTGTATTTCACCAAACTTGAAAATAGAACAAAGCACCCACAACTTTACCGCTTTTTATGAAATACACTCGACTCACTCTCACTTTCAATATAAATCAATCACATCTTGACATGCATTTACAAAGCACCCACAGCTTTACCGCTTTTTATGAAATACACTCGACTCACTCTCACTTTCAATATAAATCAATCACATCTTGACATGCATTTTCAGTTGAATCTAATGCACCTGCACTTGTGAGTAGAGGCTACGCTAAGGGTTCACTCGAACCTAATTTTGTAAAAAAACATTTCTTCTGCACTTCAGCAGAAGTGCTTCTAAGGATATTTTTTTTTTGGAATTAAAATCCAAGCACTTCCAAAAAAAGAATCGTGGTAAGAGCTTCTCCTCGAAGTGTTATCAAGACCAAAAAATACTTCTTTTAAGTTTTTACGTACAACGTAGTCAGAAATGTCTTTGATCATCAAAGGACACTTTTAACGTTTCTAAGAAGTCTCAGACATGCACTAGAGAAAGCATGTAGATCTCATGAATTGGTGATGGCCTAGGAATTTCGAGAGCAAGAAAATACTTTATTTCTCCTTTAGCAAAATTAGACTTTGAACGCGAAAGCTTTTATTTTTGTGTTTTAAAGGTGATTAGTCCATGAGAACGTGCCTCGTGGACTAACGTAGGAACACAGAGGAGAAGTTAGAAACTTCAAACTTTCCATCTTGTAAAAACTTTCAAGTACAAGTTATGGAACTTAACTTTCTATCCTTCTTAAGTAATCCAAACTTCAGATTCCCTGTCAAAATGCTAGTCCGGTTTTTATGTGTTAAGAGTCAGGATGTTACAAGAATATACTTGAACTGTTGAGATGACACTGCCATCTACATTACAAAATCTTTCGGATCAAAGTTGCATTAGTCTTACAAACTGATCAAATTCGTGCTTTTCGTAGAAGTACTTTCGTACTTGTATCCTGTCTTCATCTGTAAGACACCAATGGGGTAAGGAACACATTTTAAAGGTGATGTTTTAAAGAGCATACTGTACCAGTTTTTGGGAGTCCACAGCTGATGAAGTGACTGAGAAGAGAACCGTATCCGACATGAACCAATCTACGATCTACACGGTACAAACGTAACATTATGAAGTTCATTACTACCTAGCTCTCTTTACATCTAATTTCAGTAACAGAAAATATCATACTGACAAGATACCAATGCAGTCACTTGGACCCAAAAACAACATGTTTTAGGGTTTCTTGGAGCTTTTGCAGCAACTCCTTTTCAAGTTCAACAGTTTCTCAACAATCTACCTTCATTTAAGAGAGGCCATAAATAGATTACAACAGGCAAGAGATAGATAATTATTTTATTTATGGTACATAGAACAGTGGTTTTCATAGATTATAAACAACCACCTTGCGATAAATAGCGATAATAGTTACCAAAGATTCTGTCCGATCAATGCCTGCAACCTAAACCAGGATAAAGAAAGAAGAGAGGAAATTATTAGAAGATGAAAAGGAGGCAATCAATTATCATGTGCAGGGTTAGAAACACCAGAAACAAAGATGGTTTCTTTTCCACAAATAACCGCTTGCTAATCCCCCTATCCTGTCAATACCAAGAAATTCAGAAGAAAGTTATGGCCTAATGGCACGTGAAGAGAGACCCAAGAGACAAAATGCGAGACTATGAAAACAAGTGTCCAAGGCTTTAGCCTTGTTTTGAAAGAAATGGTCAATGAGGCAGTGAAAACGGAAGAGGGGAGGGAGAGAGAGAGAGAGAGAGAGAGAGAGAGAGAGAGAGAGCAATGCAGAAGAAGTGCAGCTTGCTAGTCTACTTTGGCCATGAACCAAAGTAACCTAAGTGATCAGCCAAGATAATAACATCTTCATCTTCGCCTACTTCAGCACTCGGAATGGTCAAGTCTCCCTCAAACCTCTCACTGAATAGTTCTTCCCAAAATCCTTCATCAAGCTCTTTATCCCCGCTATCTAGCGGCTCTACAGCTTCCTCCTGTTCCTTTCCCACCTTACCTAATCCTTGCATTTCCATCGCAAGAGCTTCAAGCTCCGACATTTCATACTCACAATCTCCAAATTCAAGAGGCTCCCTTTTAACCTGGTTTGATTCGTCACCACCAACATCACCAGGTCCTTGATCAATTGGCCTCCTCCTTTTCTTAGTCATTGCCTCTTCAAGCTCCTTTCTTTTCTCCTTGTGTTGGACTAGCTGCTGTATAAAAGCCGGGTTCTGCATTGCCCTTGCCAAGAAAGACATCATCTGTTGCTGCTTTATTTCTGTCCCCTGTAACCTTTGCTCCATGGCCTGAAGGTAGGCTCTAGTACTCTGCTGCTGCTGCCTAAGCTTCACTAGTTCCATCATTAGAACCTGCTTGTCATGCCGCAAACGATCAACTTCTCCATCTATCCCAAAGTGGCCTAATTCCATGCAAGGTCCAACAGATTGCTGTGCCGGAAAAGGCTGAGAAGGTGCTTTCCTTCTTTTAATGTTCTTCAAAAGATGCTTCTGACCCCTTACAAATCCTTCATTGGCAAACTCCCATCTGTTAGGATCAACCTTTCTAAAACCCTGCAGAAGTTAAATTACATTAGGACCAAAATTACCAAGAACCAATGACATTACAAACCCTAATTGCCGAATCAGATTCATAAATCTACTAAATCTTCTCCTTCAACCCTTTCAACCAAATATATATTATATATACGCACTGCACAAGGAGCTTAGATGGTGCTCAGTATTGTATCACTAAAAGGTCGTACCCAGTGCACAAGGCTCCCGCTTTACGCAGGGTCTGGGAGAGGTGAATGTCGGCTAGCCTTACCCCCATTTATGGAGAGGCTGCTCCCAAGTCTCGAACCCGAGACCTACCGCTCATGGGCGAAGGCACTTGCCATCGCACCTCTTGCTCAGTATTGTATCACTAACTTTTTGAAATTTGACACCGGTAGAAATCAAGAAAGATGGGCCACTAATGAGAAAACAGAACATAGAAACGTTAGAAAAAAGGTAGCGATTTTCATACACTCCCGCCGTCTCCTCATGCACTCCTTCTCCTTGTTTTCGTCACTTGATTCTTCTTTGACTTATTCAATACCAAGGCTGAAAAACGAGAGAGGAGTGCAGAAAGAGAAAAAGGACAGAGAAAATCACCCACCCAAAAGGACAGCACAGAGGAAAGGAGCATAAATTGAAAAAGTAAAGAGAGGATGCGGAAAACGCAACCAGTACAGTGAAACTTCAATAACACCCAAATGAAGTAACTCTTCTTCTAAGCAGATTCAAAAGGAAAAACTCTTTATTTTTTCCAAGAATAAATAATCAATTACAAAATATAAAAAAAAGAACATTTAGGATTAGGGGAGGATTTTCTTAATTACAGGGGACTCGGATAAACGACATTCTGTGGATCAATGATCATCCACACACGGTTTTCACTCTTACTTCTTAGCCGTCTGCACTCTAAATTGAATATTTTACAATTTTTTTTTCCGCTCTAATTGATCAAGTGCACGAGGCTACAAGAGGAGTGTTAAAAATCACCGAATTTGGATTATTTCCACACACATTTAAACTTTGAAGATCTGTAAAACTTGATGGGAAAAGGATCGAAATTTTCACTAACCAATTTGTAAAGATTTCAGCTTGGGGGTGAAAACACACTTACGTAAGTGTTGAGCTGCCTCACAAAGCTTGAGAAATTATTGTGCTTGAAGTACTTGGGCAGGAGGCTCATCACAAAAGCATGTGGGTCCCAAACAACAAAGCTAGCCCCTCCTTTGCTCCACGAGACGACCCGGTTCGACCCCGGGTCGTCCACCATGTCGTACGTCTTGTTAAGAAACGGCGGAGGGCCCGTGTCGTTCAGGCCCTCCATCGGCTGCGGCGGCGGGATCATCATCACCGTCTGGTCGAAACCCGGACATGGTTGCGACGAACTCGATCCCGGGTACTCTTCCTTCACTGGGTACAAATAATTCATGGCTAAAAATCGCAGAAATATGAACAAAATCTTGGTGGGTTTTGAATGTCGCACCAATTTCCACTACTTTTTTTCGAAATCGAATTCTGGGTCGGATCCAAAATCCGATTTTGATAATTAATTAAGCAAGAAAGAAGATTAATTAAGAGATTAAGAGACTAAAAACTGACATGGGTTGCTGTTGAAATGCGAGAAAAAAGGCAGAGCTGCAGTTGTCATGAGCTTCCTGCTTCCGAGAAGGAGCTCAAAGGCGGACACTTTTCGAGATTTCTGATCAGGGAAAGGAAGATTTGAGCTGAATCAGGGCAAGAATCAGTTATGAAAGTGGAGGAAGAGAGAAAGAGGGAGGAGAGAGAGAGGGAGAGAGGGAGGAGAGAGAGAGGGCTGCAAAGTTTGAGACTTTGGATTTCTCCCTTCTTCTTTGGGAAAGTCGTTCAAAGCCATTATATATAGTTGGCAGGTTGCAGCGAAAACTGAGAGGGTTAAATATAAATAGTGATCTAATCAACTTTTCTTAAAATGTTTCGGGAAAGTTCTGAAATTTCTAATGGGTGTGCTATCTATCTATACATTACTTTTAACTTTTTATGTAATTCTTGTTAATTTTTTTATTTTTTATTTTTTTTAATTCAATCGATTCGGCAAACGTAAATTAAAAACATGTTAATAATAAATAAAAAATATGTGTAAATAACCCACTCCTTACTGATTTGCATATTAACTCTTTCTCCATTTGGGCAAGAATTTTTTAGTGAGAGGGGGGAGACCGGGAGAGAGAGAGAGTGGTCCTTAAGAAAGTTCTGGAATGAAAGTTCCATTGAGTATGGTGGAGGCATGGCCCGCATGGGCGAGCGATAAGCGATTGGTTTTGTAGATTTCTAAAGTCTCATTGGTTGAAGCACGGACCCCACCCATAATTGGGTGACATCACATGTTAAAACATTATTGGATGGAGGATAAACGATTCATAGATTAAATGTAAACCATGTGATATGTCAAATAAAACTGCTACTATTTTATTATGAATTCACGATGAATAAAATCACTTTCGTTTATCTTCAAAAAAAAAAAAAAAAAAAAAAAAAAAAAAACCTGAATTCAGAATAATATACTATCGTTTATCTTAAAAAAAATATATAAAAAATAAGAAAAACTAGTATAAATTATAATAAATGTTTTTAAAACAAATTATTTTTTTTGACGTTGTTGTCAATTTTGAGAGTAAGAGTGAGGGATGTCAATTCATATCATGTCACATCAAGTTTGGCTTTTAGTTTGGAAAACATCATATTTGATTTTTCGGTTGAAAAACATTGTTGCTATATTTTTTTTACGGCTATTGCTGATTTGAATATTTTGACATCTCATTTGAAAATGCTCGTATCTCTCTATCGTTCTCTCGTTCTCTCCCATGACAGTTCACATTCGAGCCGACATCGTCGAAGATAATGATTTCAAGTGCCATCACAAAAGAAGAGAGAGTTTGGGTGGCCTCGCTGGATAAGAGTGGGGTTGGGTTCATCAGTGAAAAAAGTGACTAATAGTCGGTGGGCTCACAGAAGAAGAAAGGGATTGAAGGTTGTGTCGCCGGAGAAAATAGGAATTTGGGTGGGGACAATGGACAAGACAGGGATTGGAGAGGAAGCAAAGGAGGCAAGAGGCTGGAGAGGGGATGAGGATAGGGCTGACAGTAGCCATGGTGTATTTTTCATGGCAACACTAGATTGGGGGAAGAAGGAGATGATATTTAGTTAGAGCATCTCCAATCATGTTTTTAGTAGTTTTTTTAGTCCAGCGATAACATTAGTAAGTTATATGTTAAATTAGTCATTGACGAGATTCGAATCTACACCGTCATGCAAGGGTACAATATATTTTCATCACTGTGGTAAAGAGTTACTTGCATGTTTTTATTAGTTAAATTTAGCTTAAAAAAAAATTTAGGAGCTCTAAATTTTTTTACCCTAATCATACTTTCTAGTTTAAGAGAAGCAATAAATGTCTTAATTCCTTTTTACTTCAATCTTATACTTTCTATAAGTTTTGTTTGCAAATAAAAATATAAGGGAATTGTTATTAGCACTCCAAAATTCTCATTCTACACTCCTAACTTTCTATATTTGGAAAGAAAAATACACTTGTGAGGAATGTAGAATAAGATTTTTGGAGTGCCAATAACACTTCCCATAAAAATAAGAAAAGAATAAAATTAGTAAAATTTTGAAATAGCATTAATCATTAATCAACAATAATTAATGCTAGGAGTCTTAGAATCTCCTTTATCATTCTCTAGATTTAGGAGCTACTAGACGATCTCTATTTAGATGGTGAATAGGGAGTGTAATTGGAGATGATTTTTTTCCAAGAAAAACGTAAGGGAGACTATCTTTTTACCATATTTTGCAAACCAAACAAAGGAGTGGTTGATAGATCGATAGATTTCATTTGTAATGATTTAAATAAGAAATTCAACCATCGACAGTCATATCTTGTGGTCTACAAATATGGTTTAAATAGATGGTCTTTCTAGCATCACCATTTTTCAAATCCTCCTTAAATTTTAATTAAAAGCTTATCTAGGGAGCTCATTGAAAATGCTCTTATATATTTGAAGGGAAAGAAGATGTGTTTGGTTACATTTTTTTTTTGGCTTTATTTTATGCTAGGATGATAGGACAATGTAGACTATTGCAAAAATTAGTCTGCACATGTCATGATTTTAATGGGCGACCTAAAAAAGTGAGTAAAATGGATACTCTCTGGGGAATATCCAAATATTATTCGGAAGATAAATATCACAAAATAAAATAATTCTCGAAAGTGGGTTTTGAAGTTGAAAAAAATGAAAATATGGTTGGATTGGTTGGCAGGGTGTAGGGACTACTTAGGGACGACCAAGCAATTCTAAATTATTTGTAGGACGATTAGTGATGTGTAATTGCGTTGAGAATGTTTTGCATCATTAGCCGTTGATTTAAATATTTATACTTTGTACATTAACAAATCTTATCTTCTCAAGTTATACTGGCATTTTCTTTTGTCGCTTTTCGTTTTATCAACTTTGGTGTGGTGTTTTTTTTTTTCCCTTATAAAATAGATGTCGACTCTAAGAGGATAAACTCTATTAAATAGCCAAAACAAAATAACGAAAAAATAAGATATAATTGTAGTTCAAGCAGTTAAGAAAATAAGCTTAGAGATCATGCGAGTGACGGATTGCATAGAAAGATAATGTTTTTCCTCACTAAACATAAGAATTTTTTTTTTTTAATTTTTTAATTTCACACCACCTCCTCTCTTAATTTTTTATTTTTATTTTTAATTGTATGAGAAAAAAAAAAAGAGGACATGTTCTCCCTACACCTCACAAACCCTAATCTCTTTCCGATTTTTCTGCGAACAATATACTTTTCCTCTAGCAGTATTCTTATGATTTCAGTTTGTCAACTTAAACATATAGATTAATGGTTAATGATTTCAATAAAGAACTGGTCATTGAACTGGTTTCGATGGAGGGTGATTAATTTTCATGGTTGATATGAGCTTTGCTTTTACTTCGTTGTAGAACTTTAATCCACACCTGAGTTTGAACCAGGGTTGGGTGAAGTGATGGAGGGAGGCAAAGGCAGGCTGGGGCATGTGGTGACTCGTGCTAGGGTGGTTGGGAGAGACTTGGGGTTAGAGGGTGGTTGCTAGGTTTTTGTATCATCTTTCAAAGGAAGATTACATAGAATAAAGTCCTCTTCTTGCTCAATTAGACCCGACAAGAACATCTCTATAGCTATAGATTTATACAAAATTCTTGTTCAACTCAGCACAGCGGATCCGTAGCCGTCTGTTGCTGTGTTGTTGGGTGTGGTGTTGGGGTGTTGAAGGGTATCCTTTGAACAAATGTGATGAACTTAGAAAAAGTTAGATTTTAAGTTTTTATACGAACTGTAGATAGAAATTGAGGTGAACTTACATGAGATGCGGTGTTTAAATAGAAAAAATCAAATCATAAACTCTAAACCCTTTTCACTTAATCTATATGTTTCGAGCTATCTCATACTATCACATTCCGGGCACAACTCCGCCGTAGCACGACATTGGCACGACTCCGCCGTAGCACGACATTGTCCACTTTGGGTCCTGATCACGTCCTCACAGTTTTGTTTCTGAGAACTCACACGAAAACTTCCCAATGGGTCACCCATCATGGGATTGCTCTCGCGCGAACTCGCGTAACTTCGGAGTTCCAATGGAACCCAAAGCTAGTGAGCTCCCAAAAAGCCTCGTGCTATGTAGAGATGAGAATATACATATAAGGCATAGATGATCCATTCCCCTGGACAATGTGAGATGTTACAATCCACCCCCTAGGGGCCTGACGTCCTTTTCGGCACACTTCCGGTCAAGGATTGGCTTTGATACCAAATTGTCACATCCCGACCCGGGCTCCACTACATCCCGGGCACGACTCCGCCGTAGCACGACATTGTCCGCTTTGGGCCCCGACCACGCCCTTATGGTTTTGTTTCTGGGAACTCACACGAGAACTTCCCAGTGGGTCACCACTCATGGGATTGCTCTTGCAAGAACTCGCTTAACTTTGGAGTTTCGATGGAACTCGAAGCCATTGAGCTCCCAAAAAACCTCTTGCTAGGTAGAGATGAGAATATACATATAAGGCATAGATGATTCACTCCCCTGAACGATGTGAGATGTTACACATACTCTTGGTATAACTCAGAATAAAAATATCGTTTTTAACTTAAAACAAAACCTCTTTAAGGGTTTAAGGGCACATGGCTAAATATCCACCTTTCCCCAATTAGTTTTTAATTCAAAGTTATCTAATTTCTTACTTTGGTGGTCATTAAAGTACTCTTCTAAATCTAAAGAGAATCCCTCCCACTCAATCGAGAATGGCCGAGTCACCAAGACACCAACTTGATTTTTAGCAAAGTAAAATATCCCCTTTGGGTCTCTAAAAAAATGGTACGTGGATGAATCTTATTTGACACGTATCAACTATTTAGCTGTTAAAAAATACTTAAGATAATACATTAGTGCAAACTAATTTAACCACATTAAACAATAGGGTTAATTAGTCATGAGAATAGCCATACGTGGTGGCCCATGAAGTCGACACGCCAACTTCTCTGCACAAGTGCAGGGAAAGTGGAGTCATGGGATTGGTCAGCACAGAGCCAACAGTATTCCCTGGCACAATATAATATGCACAATCACGATTCACAAGCCACGCACTATGGACAAGTTGCATTTGATTAATCCGATCAAAAGTTAAGCATCGGCAATATTTTTGTAAGATAATGCAAATTGTTCTTTGATTCTCACTCGGTCTTGTTGAAATTATAGGACCACATTGCTAGATATTTTGAGTGAAATGATAAATTAATAAGGGAGATCCAATAATGAATGAGTTTATGA